CACACACACACACACACACACACACACACACACACACACACACACTTACAGAAGAAATCCTCTTTCCCCTCATTTCTAAGGAAAATAAAAGCAGGGTTCTGATTGGTCGACAGACGGGGATTTTGATCCGAATCAAGCCGCTCCCTTCCAGGCCTCACGCGCTCAGACCCAGGCCCGTATTACGTGGAGAACTGTCAGCCCCCCCACCACCACTTTGACCCCCACAGCTTTTGGCCATTACCTGCAGGAGCGCGCGCGTTTGTTCATATGCATGACTTCTGCGGCATTATTTATTTATTGCGCACGGCGGGTGGGGTTGGTGGAGGGGGTCGGTGGTTGTTTCCAATTCATTATTAACAGTCTGAGCCTTACAGGAGCTCTGAATTAATGGCCTGCTACCATCTTGTGCTGCCACCGTTCTGATAATCAGATTTTTCCAAATGTATTTATTCATTTATTTGACAACATGTACAAGTGTGAGACGCTCAAACTTTAGAAATGAGCCGTTTTTCAACACCCGCTGCCGAAAAGCGAAGGCGGAATTGTGGGTCTGCTCCGAGTGTGTTCGTGTGGCTGTCTGTTAGCAAAATATCACACGAACCACGAGTCAGATTTGAATGAAACTTCCTGATATAGATAAATGGATGTGTCTCTACAACTGATTAGCATTTAGAGCCGAGCCAATTAAAGATGACAGCTCAGTCAGCTGATCTGTGGAAACAATAAAAAAGGCGATAACTTAGGTTAAGTTACAGATATTGAGCTGAAATTAACTGAGGTTGTACCTGAGAGTAAATCACAACAAACGCCTCAAGTTCTACTTTTTGCGCATGATTTTTATATAAATATCAACCTTAATTATCACAGTCAATCCTGTTTGTCTGTTAGCAAAAAATCTCTTCAATGAATAGAGGGATTTTAATTAAACTTTCAGGAATTGATCACTGGATGGGCAGCTACCATTCATTAACATTTGGAGTCAAATCCTTTTAAGATGGCTGCCACAGCTAATCAACATTAGTCAACACAAAAATAGAAATAACTCAGTCAGTTTGACATATATTGAGCTGAACTTTGACATGGTAGTACCCGAGGGTCATCCCCAACAGAAACTCTTGGGATAGCTCGTGATATCGTGTTACTTTTTTTTAGATTTGACTGACAAAACTAACCCCGTCATTTAAAAATTATATATAAAATTTATAATAACAGCGGGCGATATTCCCTCAAGAAACAAACGTATTCAATTTAGCAAAAAGAAATCTATGCTTTTAAATCGATTTATCAAATCAGTTATAAAAACCTTCTGGCCTAAAATTATTTTATTGTTATTTTATGTTTTTAATGAATTTTGTCTTTTTTAAGAACAAGCAGATTTCTGCTCGGTATGAGGAGTTCTTGGTAAAATCCAATCACTGGTGGGGGAAAAAAGGGCAGCGGACTTGAATAAAGGGGATTAGTCCTCTTTTTCTGAAAGAAAAAAAAAACATGGCGCACATTATCCAGAACAGATGGGCTTCAGAGAGTCGTTTTCTTCCTCCTCTTGCCTCAAGGAACCTTGTTGGGGACTTTAATTGCCACTTTTTCCAACTGATGTAATGCTGGGATATCTTTTTCATTACAATAATGAGGTAACACTTGCTCTCCTTGGCCTCTCGTTATCACATCTCCTACATCACTCACTAAACACCAAATTTAACCCCCCACCGTCCCCACTCAGAGGGGGGAACAAGCAGCTCGCTCTATAAGTTTGCATCTTTCTGCTCCGCCGATCAACAGTGTGTTTGTGAAGAGGTGGTCCATCAGGAACCAACACTCCTGTTGGACTTCAGCACGGGTGGACACCTGCGTTCACAAGTCCAGTGCGCATGTATCACACTGGTGGGACTGGTGATTTGATGCCACAAATAAAATAATATTTTATAAACGCTTTATTATTTCGGTTATAAACATGTTATAATAAATAAAGTATTTATAAGAGAGCTAATCTCACCCACTGACACACAAACTCAAAATATCAGCTTATGTTTGGTTTGTTTTCAGCTTATTTCATTCCTCATGTGTTCCATTTACACTTAATAAAAAAATCAAAGAATCAAAAAAACCTTTTCAAAATAAGAGTTGGCTCACTATCAGGCAACCAACTTCTCACCATTCCCTCTTTTGTGCAACCTGCAGATTATTAACGGTGAGGTCGGGTGTTTACATTTTAACTAGATGTTTATAAAAGTCTCTTTATTGATCCTTTACATCGTTTTTAAAGTATTTTTAAATTTTTTTATAATCCTTTCTCTTATTACAATTTGTAAAACAATACATTTATCTTACATTTGTCTTATTTATCTTATCTTTCATTATATTAATTTTGAATGGACTTATAACATAACTAATTGTTTTTTATAAGACTGATAAAGGATTAATAGTTTATACAGGGCTTTAAAATGATCAGTTTGTTAATAATTTTGCAATGTCTTTGTTAACTGTTTACAAACTTATATAAAAGATTGAATAGATTTAAATGATCTTATATAGGGATTTGTTACGATTTATTATTGTTTTATCCGTTACAAGGGGTAATAACACATTTATAAACATATGTATTAATAACATATGTTACAATGCATTATTAAGGGTTTTATATAAATATTCAGATATTTATTAATCTTTGACATATTTGTAAATAATGTATTTATCAACCTTTTATAACATTAGGGATCAACCACTTCTCTGTATTAATCCTTTATAATGGTTTGATTTATTAACCCTTTATAAGCATTTGTAAAGTGACACCTTTACATTATGGAAAAAATATATTAGTAATTTCACAAACATGTAAATGAACTGTCCTGTATTTCATTCAAATATTTGTTTCACACACACATATGTTTTATGACATTTGAAGAACATTTATAACAATATGTGTTAGTGGAGCACATCAGGATGTCCCCAGTCTGCTCTGATACAAATCATTAGTGATGGAAGTGTTTGTGATGTTACTCCTTTGTGGCATTTTAAAAAAAGAAAGAAAGAAACTAATAATAATCCAACAGTTTGGGCTGGTAGGAGCAGCAAGTGAACCAATTTGGAGTCTGGAAGACGTCCTCTCCTCAGCCCCATAAACACCTCGCAGCTGAGGCTTGACTTCCACGGACATCTGCAGCAGTCCTGGCTGAATGATGGCACCGAGCTGCGACATCTCAGAGTTTAAATGGCCTCATCATTCCAGCAAATCCAGCCAGTTTCCCTTCTCCCTTTTTGTCAAGTGACAGGACAGCTGATGGCAGAGAAGCTCCGCTACCTTTCAAGTTTCAACCAGGCGCCGTCACATGCGACCGCACAGGCAAGAAGAAGAAGAGGAAGAAGAAGAGAGAGAGAGAGAGAAAAAAAAAAGTCTGTCAGCAGTGATGTCAAAAGCTTCAATTTTTACAGAGCAATTAGGGGTTTCATCACAGCGGAGTGATGTCAGGATTCATTACGGCTCAGCAACAGCTAATTGCTTCAAGGTTAAAGTAACAGATCTGACGGCATTGTATTTTAAGTGACAGACTCAAATTCTGCCGCTGCTTCTCCGAGCAGCCGTGACGTGAGGAGAGTGAGCTCAGGAGGATGCAGACTGAGGAGCAGCAGAAATTACTGAGCATTACGAGTGCTCACAGGAAGCAGGGACTCTCTGAGGAACACATCAGGGTTAATGTTTGGCTCCAAGTCAAACAAAGGACAACATAATATCACTTCTTTTCTTACATGTTTGTCTGCCCAGGCCATTAAAAAAACATGTATTCTGACATCACACCTCCTAAAGTCATTCTCTCACATAAATGTTGTCATAGGCTATTATTTTTATTAAAGACCAAGCATTGCTTGAAGATGCGGACATCTTTTGTGCCAAAGATTTACATTAACATCATTGTGATGAGAAAGGCCATATTTGAAGCCATTTTGGTCAAATTTAAAAAAATTGGATGTTACGCTCAGA